TGGGAGGAGAGCAAAACCTGGAAAAAGTGTAAAGGAACCGAAAGCATCACCAACAGGCTGAAAATTGTCCTTTAAGTTCTGCTGGTTTCCCTTGTGGTGCTATTTTTGCCTTGACTGACTCAAGATCTGAGGTTCTGCTGGATCTTCCAGAACAATCTGAGGTTCTGCCATTACCATCTACTGGCACAGGTGTTGCTCTGTTCCTTGGCACTATCCATTCCACTTCCAGAGGTGCGTGGGTCAGAAATACAAGAGAGGCCAAGCTCTCTGGTGTGTGGCAAGATGTGTCTTTTTTACCTGCCCCTGCTCAGCAGATGTGTGGGTAGGTGCAGCATGGTGTGGATTGTAAATACCAGTTGCAGTGGAGACAACAAACCGCACCTGCCTACAGATGAGTCTCAGAAGAAGTAGGCATATCAGTGGTTTGCTTCATTGACTAACAAGTTTTGTACTGACCTCATCCAATCTAAGGAATTTTGTCTCAGATTTTGAAAATGCTAATATGAACCCTTAAAAAAAAAATATGTAGTTTTTTTTTCTGGGTTTTCACTTTAACATCCAGATAGGAAGTTCTATTTCCTAGGCTGTTATTGCTGCTTTCCTGGTAGAGTTCACAAAATAACTTTCTGCTGGCAGATCCCCTGTACAGAGTTTGTGCTAGTTCTAATTCTATCTTGGCCGCATTACAAAGTCTTCATTGTGGGCCGAATGAAGAGCGGGGGGGTCCCTTCCTCTCCAGTCAATGATGACTGGGAAAGCATTAAAAGTCATTCATTATTCTGTCCAGGTTACTTCCAGTGCCAGGCTATTCAGTCCTCATGAGGCCTCTGTGGCCCGGCCTTGATGCTTCTCAAACCATGGAAACCGATCTGGTGCACTGGGTTCTCTGTGTCAGCTATAAATTGGAGAATTTATTTCTTATTGTGGAAAAACAAGACGTGGTTGGTGAAACAGGTCAACCGGAGGTGATGTGAACAGTGCAGAATGTACAACTGTACATCAATTGTGGCTAGATTTAGTTCACACAATTTTCATCTACTTTTTTAACATTACCCCCCACCCACACTTTTGTATACATCAAAATTATTTTCAATAAGGAATTAAGAGAATACTAATATTGGTTAAAAAAAAGATGAACACATTGTATTTGGTTTGTTCATCCGAATAATGTGTATGTATGTATATATATATATTATATACAGTTGTGTTCAAAATAATAGCATTCATACATGACTAACCTGATCAATCACTGTTTTTGGTAGAAATAATATTTCTACATGGCAAATAATTTACTAGCAGGTGTAGTAAAGTAATAGAAATCCAACAGACCCAACAGTCATGACATGCATGCCGCTGATTCTGTGTAATTGAATCACTAATTGAAAGGGGCATGTTCAAAATAATAGCAGTGTGGAGTTCTATTAGTGAGGTCATTCATTCTTTGAAAAACAGGTGGCAATTATTGCCCTTATTTAAGGAAGGAAGGCAGCAAATGTTGTACATGCAGGTTACAGTGCATTTCTCTCTGAAATTCTGAGGAAAATGGGTCGTTCCAGACATTGTTCAGAAGAAGATTAAAAAGTTGATTGGAGAGGGGAAAACATATAAAGAAGTGCAGAAAATGATAGGCTGCTCAGCTAAAATGATTGCAAATGCTTTAAAATGGCAACCAAAACCTGAAAGACGTGGAAAGAAAGCGAAAAACTACCATTCGAATGGATAGAAGAATAGCCAAAATGGCAAGGACTCAGCCAACAATCAGCTCCAGGGAGATCAAAGAAGGTGTAAAGTTACCTGTGAGTACTGTTACAATTAGAAGACGCCTATGTGAAGCCAAGCTATCTGCAAGAAGCCCCCGCAAAGTCCCACTGTTGGAAAAAAGACGTGCTGAAGAGGTTACAATTTGCCAAAGAGCACATTGACTGGCCTAAAGAGAAATGACGCAACATTTTGTGGACTGATGAAAGTAAGATTGTTCTTTTTGGGTCTAGTGGCCGGAGACAGTTTGTCAGACGACCCCCAAACACTGAATTCAAGCCACAGTACACTGTGAAGACAGTGAAGCATGGTGGTGCAAGCATCATGATATGGGGATGTTTCTCATACTACGGTGTTGGGCCTATTTATCACATACCAGGGATCATGGATCAGTTTGAATACATCAGAATACTTGGAGAGCTCATGCTGCCTTATGCTGAAGAGGAAATGCCCTTGAAATGGGTGTTCCAACAAGACAACGACCCCAAACACACCAGTAAACGTGCAACATCTTGGTTCCAGACCAACAAGATTGACGTTATGGAGTGGCCAGCCCAATCCCCGGATCCTAATCCAATAGAAAACTTGTGGGATGACATCAAAAATGCAGTTTCTGAGGCAAAACCAAGAAATAGAGAAGAACTGTGGAATGTAGTCCAATCATCCTGGGCTGGAATACCTGATCACAGGTGCCAGAATTTGGGTGACTCCATACAACACAGATGTACAGCAGTTCTCAGAAACAGTGCTTATACAACCAAATATTCATTAAGACGGTATTCCCGAGTGTAGCTCGGGGTAACATTTCAGTACCAAAAGCGGTAACCCCGAGCTACACTCGGGCTTACCCTGCGGCACTGCTCCGGCAAGTGTTCTTCACTTACCTTACCCTGCGCTCCCACGATGTGTCCCCTGCAGCGTCCGGCCATCTCCTCCGGCCGATGCCGGCATCCGGCTTCTGTGTCCTGTCCCTGTGACGTCGGGACGTACGGACGCCGCCGCCGCCGCCGGCGGGAAATTTAAAAATTTTAAAAAATGTCATTTTTTTTTTTTTTACATTTTACACAGTAAAACATTGCTGTTTCAACCTATTTCACATACATTTTGTCCCTAGTGCTTTGTCCTGTGCCCTGCCTGCATTTTGTCTATTCTTTCTGCCTGGAAACTGAGAAATGTCCATGGCGTCCAAAAAGTGTCCCTTTAGGTCAAAAGCGTTTAGATCAGCTAGAGAACAGCGATAGTAAATCAGAACCACTTGCAGAATTGAGTGATAATGATTAGTGGGGGGAAATTCGTCATCAGAAACTGAAAACGATTTTGCGACTTTGCTCAGCGATGTGCGAACTTGGTGCTCTATTTCACATTTCAGTGTTTTTGGTTTGATTATATTATTGAATTAAATTTTTTATTATTTTTATATATTTTTATGATTATTTATTAAATTATAATTTATGATTTTGTGTTTCAAATTTTATCATACCCGGGATGTTTACTAGACTCTTGTTCGGACAGATTTCAGTGAGTTTTTCCTAAAAATTACAGCCTACAATAAAAAAAATACATATTTCCATGCAAAAAAATGGGTACCGCTTTCAGCACCAAAAATCGGAAATAATCATACCGCCAGGGAGGTTAAGTGATTCAAAGGAAAGCAAAATCTTCAAACATTTTTCAGTTTATATAGTGAATGTTTGAGTTTGTAAAGAAGAATACAAACACTGCTATTTTTTTGAACAGTCTAATATTCACTTTTCTTCAATTTTGTTTAGAGGAACAACTAATTTGATATATTTTTCTTCTTGTTTTGATTTGGAATAGAATGTGTAGTATTCCCAATGCATTTGTGTGTATGGAAATAAAAGCTATGAGAAGGATTTTGAGCTTTATTCACTTTTTTTCAACACACTGCTATTATTTTGAACACAACTGTATATATATATAATGCTCAGCATAAATGAGTACACCCCCTTTGAAAAGTAAGATTTTAAACAATATCTCAAAGAACACAAAAACTATTTCCAAAAGTTTTACAAAACTGAGTTTTAAAGAAAATGTATTTAGCTCATTACATGAAAGTAAGGTTAATAATATAACTTAGAACACAAAATCTTCAGTTTTACTCCAATTAGTTGATGCAGAAATGAATACACCCCACAACAAAAACTCCTCCATCTAGTATTTTGTATGACCTCCATGATATGTAAGGACATCACCAAGTCTTCCAAGCATGGAATGAACAAGTTGCTGACATATTGGAACATCTGTCTTTTTTCATTCTTCAAGAACGACCTCTTTTAGAGCCTGGATGCTGGATGGAGCGTGATGCTCAACTGGTCTCTTCAGAATTCCTCATAGGCACCATGCCTACAGTGAAACATGGTTCATTGAACTCCTCACCTTTGCGACGCCATACAGTTTTGAAGCTATCAGTTCCAAATACATTTATCATGGACTCGCCACTTTAGAGTACAAAGTCCCAGTAGTCTTCTTCTTTTTCAGCATGGGCCTTGCAAATTTTAGATAGGCTTTTTTGTGCATGGGCTTTAGGAGAGGCATCTTTCGTGGATGACACCCATGCATACCATTCCTCTGCACTGTGCCCCATATTGTGTCACGGGAAGCAATCACCCCAGTTTGGCTTTTGTACTTCTTCTGCTAACTGCAGTGATTTTGCATGTTGATTTTCAGCCCATCTCATCAGAAGATGCTCCTGTTGAGGTGTTAACTTCCATAGTTAGCCTGGACGTCTCTGTGAGATGGTTACAGTTCCATCTTTGTTAAATTTTTGTATCACTTTTTCTACAGTATTATGACTATTAAGTACTGATCTTCTTGTAATAAATAAATAAATAAATTTCTTTCTGAGGCCTTGTGACATTTCTCTTCCATGTGGTGCCATTGTTGACAGCATGAAATGGAGAGAGGTTTTCTTTGTTAAGTAAGTAACACTTGTTTAATGCAAAATTAGACTCACCTGTACCTGGTAGCCAATCAGCTTATAGTGTCAGCTTGTTCAACTGGGCTTTGGCAATAAACCTGGAGGCTGATTGGGTTTTATGTAGAGTTGCACCAGATTTTGCACAATCCAGATTTCACAAATAACCCCCAGTGTGTTGTGGTGATACATGGGGAGAAAACTGGCATGATTTGATAGTGAGAGGCCTGCAAGGGCCTAAATTATAATAATATGGTCTCTTAAACAGTGCTGACTTGAATAATACATAGACAAAATATTGCAATTCTGACAATACATGGACTGCAAATAGCCAATATACAATGCATAGCCAACAGACAGTCAACTGCAATATGCGGCCAGCAAATGGGCAATTGTTACAATAAGTGAGAAGTAGAACCAGGGGTGGACTGACAACTCATGGGGCCCCCCAGGAAATAGGGGATCATGGGGCCTCTGTGTTCTCGCCCACACTCAAACCACACCCAAAAAAGCCCATGAAAGGTACCAGGGGCATCTCATGGGGCCCCCTACTGACCCAGGCCCCTGGGGCAGTACTTGAGTTGCCAAATGGTCAGTCTGCCCCTGAGTAGAACTGTCTGACTGTAAGTGGACAGCAAACAAGCAGTCATGATAGTATATGGGCAACATATGTCCATATTGTCCATTTAACATTATGTCCAGAAAAATTCAACAATTCAGGCAAACAGTAAAAATAAGCAGGCAACAAATAGGCACTCTAGCTGTAACAAAATGTGTACAACTGGGAAATATTACCATTATGTGGGCAATATGAAAATATGCAACCAACTGGCAATCAAAAAAAAAAAAAAAAAAAAAAAAAAAAGGTGAGCAACAAATAGGCAATTGTAACAATACATGAACAACAGATGGGCAATCCTGCTATTATGCTGGCAACACACAAGCAAGCGTGACAACACGCAGATAATACACAGGCAATTGTGACAATATATGAAGGCAATAAAAAGGTAATCATGATCTTATGTAGGTAACAACCAGACAATCTAACAATATACAGCCAAGTATTTCTCCTCTCTACCCTGCAAGTGTGGTCTAAGCATGGTGCAAAGATGGCGTTCCTAAAGGACATGGTTGCACCTTTTCATATCTTCCGACTTTAGCTGCATTTGTAATTTACATAACATCTTAGAGATTTAAAGGAAGCTGGTGTTGGAACAGAGGTGGACTGACCATTTGGGATTTCGGGCAATGCCCGGGGTCAGTAGGGGGCCCCATGAGATGCCCCTGGTACCTTTCATAGGCTTTTTGGGTGTGGTTTGAGTGTTGGCGAGGACACAGGGGCCCCATGATCCCCTATTGCCCGGGGGCCCCATGAGTTGTCAGTCCACCCCTGTGTTGGAAGATCTATTTTCAAAAGCTAGTTAACAATTGATTAGAGCGGTTGCCATTTATGTTTTATTTTGCTTGCTTGAAAACTTACTTTTGCTAAATGCTATGATTGTGGGTCTGAACGGGGAGCAGGTAGCGGTATAATTACCGCCATGTGTCATTGACTGCAGATCCCGCCTTGATTGATGTCTGAATGGTGAAATATCTCCACTCGGGGTGAACTTTCCAACATACACTGATCAGTCATGACTTTATGACCTCTTACAGGTTAATTAAATAACATTGATTATCTCATTACAATGACATCTTAAAGTCAGTGTGATATAATAGGCAGCAAGTAAATGAATTGGGGTTGATTTACTAAAGGCAAACAGACTGTGCACTATACAAGGTGCAGTTGCGCTATGCAAGTGCAATTGCTCCAGAGCTTTGTAAATGAGATAAAGATTGACTTTGCAAAGGATACCCAATCAAGTGCAAGAAAAATTGAAAAAAAAAAAGCACTTTTACTTGCACATGATTGGATGATGGAAGTCAGCAGAGCTTCTGATCATTTTTTAAGCTCTGCAGAGTGCAACTGCACTTTGCAAAGTGCACAGTCTATTTGCCTTTAGTAAATCAACCCCATTGTCCATAAAGTTGTTGTGTTGAAAGCAGAAAAATGGACATGGCAGTTGTGTATTGGACTGCATAGCCACAGGCGGTCAATCTGCCCATGCTGACCCGTGTCCACAGCCAAAAGTGCCCATAATGGGCATATTAGCATCAGAACAGGACCACAGAGCAATGGAAGAAAATGGCCTGGTCTGATATTCACGTTTTCCTTTACATCATGTGGATGTCCAGGTGTGTGTGCCTTGCTTATTTGGGCACAAGGATGCAGCATGGGAGAAAGGCAAACTAGCAGAGGTAGTATGATGTCTTGGACAATATTCTGCTGGTAAACCTTGGGTCCTGTTAAACATGTGAATGTTACTTGACACATACCATTTACTTAAACATTGTTGCTGACCAAGTAAACCCCTTCATGGAAAAGGTATTGCCTTATGGCACTGACCTCTTTCAGAAAGATAATGCACCACACTGCAAACATGGTTCATAAATGGTCTGAGCAACATGTTTGATGTGTTGACTTGGCCTCCAAATTTCGTAGATCTCAATCCGAACATCTGTGGGATATGCTGAAAAAACAAGTCCGATCCATGAAGGAACCACCTCACAACTTGCAGGACTTAAAGGATCTGCTACTGCTGGCTTGGTGTCAGATACCACAGATACCTTCAGAGGTCCAGTGGCGTCCATGCCTCGACAATCAGGGGTGTTCTGGCAGGCAAAAAAAAAGGGATCTATTTAATATTAAGTGGGTGGTCATAAAGGAACGAAGAAGTCATTCCCGATGTAACACGTAGGGTGGAGGTTGTTCCTGCAGGCATGATCCAGAGCAGATGATTCTTTCTCTCCAGCCGCGGCCCTTTCTGTGTTTACATCTGAGCTGTCAGCTGAAGCCTGTAAATGTTATTCTTGCTGCACAGTTGGACCTGAATGTAAATGTTGAGAAACATGTAAATAAAGGCATATGAAATTAAAAAAAATATCATGACTTAATACTATAATTACAGGTAGTGACCCCATACAACTACTGAATTACAATGCTTTTCACCGTAGCGTGCCTTAGCAGGACAAAATTCACATCTTCCTTGTCATGGACTTTGCTGACGCCACGAGCGAGGTCTTTCAATTGACAGCAGAAATATGCAGTGTGACATCTCACATCTACTCCTATCATTGCTTTTAAAAATAAGATACGGTAACCGTGATACATTTGAGTCAGAGAACAGAGGTACAACCATATGACAGTTACAGAAGCTGTAATAAGCAGTCATTGTGTCAGAATTACTTGCCTTCTTGACAAATGGAACCAATTTCTCCATTGTCGTGCAATCTTTCCATTTATATCAGCACAGTCTATATTTTGTCACATCACTCAGGTTCCCATGACATCTCTGGTGAAAGGATTGCAGAGAGCTTATCAGAATTCTGGGGAGTTCTACACAACGATGCAAAGTTTCTTCCTCACCAGCTACATGACACTAATGTACCTATTTATACATTCAGAAATTCTGTTCTTTTTATACATGGATTTGTTTGTTTTAGATATACATGTGAAATACTGCAACCTAAATGGTTAAAAAGACATGATACAAGAGACAGTTAGAGCTTGAAGACATGATACAAGAGATGGTAGAGACTGCAGACATTGATATAAGAACAGAGACTGCAAACATGACACAAGAGATGGCTAGAAACTGCAGACATGATACAAGAGATGGCCAGAGACTGTGGACATAATACAGGAGATGGTAGGACATGGAATACAGGAGATGGTTAGAGACTGTGGACATAATACAGGAGATGGTTAGAGACTATGGACATAATACAGGAGATGGTTAGAGACTATGGACATAATACAGGAGATGGTTAGAGACTATGGACATAATGCAGGAGATATGATCCAAAAATATTTAGACAGAATAAAGGTGAATAAAGCAGCTGGACTGGATGGCATACACCCACGGGTCCTTAAATAATTGAGCTCTGTCATTTCAAAGCAATTGTTTCTAATTTTTAGGGACTCTTTAAAGACTGGCATAGTGCCACTGGATTGGCGTAAGGCCAATGTGGTGCCAGTATTTAAAATGGGGTAAAAATTTTTACCAAGTAATTATAGACCTGTTAGTTTAACTTCTATAGTTGGGAAGATACTGGAGAGTTTAATAAAAGACCACATAGATGAGTTCTTGCTGTAAAAAAAATATTTTAGGCAACAGACAGCATGGATTCATGAAAGACAGAAGTTGTCAAACAAATCTGATTTCTTTTTATGAGAAAGTGAGCAAAACCTTGGACAGAGGGGTGGTGGTGGATGTGGTATACTTGGACAGAGGGGTGGCGGTGGACGTGGTATACTTGGACAGAGGGGTGGCGGTGGATGTGGTATACTTGGACAGAGGGGTGGCGGTGGACGTGGTATACTTGGACAGAGGGGTGGCGGTGGACGTGGTATACTTGGACAGAGGGGTGGCGTGGACGTGGTATACTTAGACAGAGGGGTGGCGGTGGACGTGGTATACTTGGACAGAGGGGTGGCGGTGGATGTGGTATACTTGGACAGAGGGGTGTCGTGGATGTGGTATATTTGGACAGAGGGGTGGCGGTGGACGTGGTATACTTGGACAGAGGGGTGGCGTGGACGTGATATACTTGGATTTTTCAAAAAACGTTTGACACAGTTCCCCACACACAGCTAATGTGTAAGGTAAGCTTACAGGCTTGGAAAAATCCGTATGCAAATGGATAGAAAACTGGCTAAAAGATGGTAGTAAGAGAGTAGTGGTTAATGATTTATACTCTGAATGGTCTAGGGGGGTTGTCAGTGGTGTACCCCAAGGTTCAGTGTTGGGACCCTTACTTTTTTAATATATTTATAAATGATATAGGGTCTGGGATTATAAATACCATTTCAGTCTTTGCAGATGACATCAAGCTGTGCCGTGGAATAACGTCCTTACAGGATGTCTCCAATTACAAGTCGATCTCCATGCACTGTTTAGTTGGGCAACTATGTGGCAAATGAGGTTTAATGTTTATGAATGTAAGGTTCTGCATTTGGGGGCTAAGAATATGCATGCATCATACATACATAGGGGGGGGGGGTACAACTGGGGGAATCAATGGTGGAGAAGGATCTGGGAGTTCTTGTAGATCACAGGCTTAATAATGGCATGCAATACCAAGCTGCAGGTTCTAAAGCGAGCAAAATCCTCTCTTGTATTAAAAGGAGGTATAGACTCCAGAAAGAGAGATATCATATTACCCCGTACAAATCATTAGTAATACCTCATCTGGAATATGCAGTTCAGTTTTGGGCACCAATTCACAAAAAGAACATTGGGGAACTGGAGAAAGTACAGAGAAGGGAAACCAAACTGATAAGAGGCATGGAGGAGATCAGCTATGAGGAAAGATTAGAGGAACTGAATTTATTCTCTCTTGAGAAGCGGAGATTAAGGGGGGATATGATCACCATGTATAATACATAAGGGGGGATATGATCTCCATGTATATTATAAGGGGGATATGATCACCATGTATAATACATAAGGGGGATATGATCTACATGTATATAATACATAAGGGGGGATATGATCTCCATGTATAATACATAAGGGGGGATATGATCTCCATGTATAATACATAAGGGGGATATGATCTCCATGTATAATACATAAGGGGGGATATGATCTCCATGTATAATACATAAGGGGGGATATGATCTCCATGTATAATACATAAGGGGGGATATGATCTCCATGTATAATACATCAGGGGGGATATGATCTCCATGTATAATACATAAGGGGGGGATATGATCTCCATGTATAATACATAAGGGGGGATATGATCTCCATGTATAATACATAAGGGGGGATATGATCTCCATGTATAATACATAAGGGGGGGATATGATCTCCATGTATAATACATAAGGGGGGATATGATCTCCATGTATAATACATAAGGGGGGATATGATCAACATGTATAATATATAAGGGGGATATGATCTCCATGTATAATACATAAGGGGGGATATGATCTCCATGTATAATACATAAGGGGGGGATATGATCTCCATGTATAATACATAAGGGGGGGATATGATCTCCATGTATAATACATAAGGGGGATATGATCTCCATGTATAATACATAAGGGGGGATATGATCACCATGTATAATACATAAGGGGGGATATGATCTCCATGTATAATACATAAGGGGGATATGATCTCCATGTATAATACATAAGGGGGGATATGATCTCCATGTATAAATGCATCAGTGGTTCATATAGTGAACTCGGTGTAGAGTTATTCACCCTGAGGTCATCACAGAGGACAAGGGGGCACTCTTTACATCTGGAGGAAAAAAAATTTAATCTCCAAACACGGAAAGGTTTCTTCACAGTGAGAGTTGTGAAAATGTGGAATAGACTCCCTCAAGAATTGGTTCTGGCCAGCTCAGTGGATTGCTTCAAAAAAGTCCTGGATTCTTTCCTAGATACACAAAATATAACTGGATACTAACATTTATAGGTAAAGATGATCCAGGGAATATCCGATTGCCTCTCAGGGGATCAGGAAGGAATTTTTTTCCCAGCAGGAGCAAATTGGATCATCCTTTGCTGGTTTTTTTGTTTGCCTTCCTCTGGATCAACTGTGGGTATAGGATTACAACTTTTTTTTTTTTAATGGTTGAATTGGATGGACTTTTGTGTTTTTTTCAGCCAGACTAACTATGTAAATGTAAGATTACTATGTAAATTAGTAAAAGAACAGATATAAAACAATAGTTTAAAAACGTATAAGCGTATCACCCAAAACGTGTATTTCCTTTTTTTTGTGACAATTCTATTCCATTTTCTATGTTTTTTTAGAGTACAAAAATAGCATAACCATTGTCCTGTTCCAAATCAATAAGTGAAAATATACAAATAAATATTGTCCAAAAGTGCCTTGTGCCTTGGGTTGGGTTTTCTCTTTTTGTGGCTGTGTGTTGGATCTGGAGACCGTCCAGAAGCAGCTTCTGAGTTCTAGAAATGATTGTACTGCCTATTAAAACAAATCTACTCAATAAATTACCTTTCATCAACTGAAACTGAAAAGGAGCAGGGGCGGACTGACCATTTGGAAACTCGGGCACTGGCAGAGGGCCCGGGGTCAATAGGAGGCCCCATGAGATGCCCCGGTACCTTTTTCATAGGCTTTTTTGAGTTTGGGCAAGGACACAGGGGCCCCATAAATCCCCTATTGCCCGGGGGCCCCATGAGTTGTCAGTCCACCCCTGGAAAGGAGCTTAAAGAAAACCAAATTCATGAAAAAAAAAAAAGGAATCCAGTCACCACATCTGAGAACTGCATCTTTTTCCAAGGTCCAAGCCGGGTCTGTAATGGTGCTGGAGAGCAGATGATTAGGATCTTTTGGTGAGGAGTTCCATGCTACTGATCGGTAGCTTTCTGGTGAGTGCATGGTGTTGGAGGACCCCACACTGGAAAGGAGCACTTGGTGGGATTGAGGCGGGTCTCTTTGAAAATGTGCGGGTGCATGAAACGAACCAGCGAGGAGTCTATGTGCTGACGTCACGCCGCTGCGTCCATGTTTGGTCCAGCGGCCATCTTTGTAAGTGCGGCTGCAGTTTTTTTATTCCACGTGGATTGTATATGTATGTTACGATTTAAAATAAATTACTACACTATGTACCTCGAATTTGCGCTCTGTGTGGTGAGCTCTATTTTCAGGACACACTACTGATGGCTCCGAACCAGCCCTGAGAGGAGGAGATATGGTTGCCTTGGAGTATCATTTGTTACAAGCCCATTTGATCTTAGTTCTAGTGAGTGCATAGTGGTGAAGGATCTCACAGATGTTTTTTTCCACATTTGGATGTCACTTCACTGTACCAAGGACTGCGATTCATACAGATTGTGTGTGCAGTCATTCATTCCACTAAGCACTCATTTTCTTTATGTGCACTGAATTTGGAGGTCTTCGATTTGTGCGTCATATCATTGCATCAAGGACTTTCATTGATAAGGATTGTTTTAGTCATTATCAACACTTGCATGTATTGCTTTATTTTGATATTTGTTTTCACCTAGTTTTTTTTACATGTAGTGAATGTTGGTAACATTTATGGACTACTGTATCATATTACAGTTCACTTTTATTCACCGTTTGTTATTCTAGTTTAACCGCTTGCCATCCTGAGGATTTACCCCCATTAATGACCAGTCCTCTTTTTGCTATTCGGCGCTGCACTATTTCAACTGATAATTGAGCGGTCATGCAATGCTGCACCCAAACAATATTTACGTCCTTTTTTTCACACAAATAGAGCTTTCTTTCGGTGGTATTTGTTCACCTGGGCACTTTTCATTTTTCGCACTATAAACAAAAAAAGACCGAAAATTTTGAAGAAAAACAATATACATTCGGCTATAAAAAATATATAGTAAATTCAAAGTTAGTCATACATTTAGGCCAAAATGTATTCTGCTACATGTTTTTTGTAAAAAAAATCCAAATAAGTGTATATTGATTGCTTTGTGTGAAAGTTATAGCGTCTATAAACTATTGTATAGATACTGCACCTGCAATTTACGCCATTTTTTTGCTTTACAGCACTGCATTAGTTTAACTGACAATTGCACAGTCATGCAATACGGTACATAAATTAAATTTACGTTCTTTTTTTCACACAAATAGAGCTTTCTTTTGGCGGTATTTGATCACCTGTGCGCTTTTTATTTTTGGCGCTATAAACAAACAAAAAAAAAAATATTTTCTCATTTCTGTCATAAAAAATATCCAAAAAAAACATAAATTTAGGTCAAAATGTATTCTGCCACATGTTTTTGGTAAAATAAATCACAATAAGTGTATATTGATTGCATTGTGTGAAAGTTATAGCGTCTACAAACTATGGTATAGATAATGGAATTTACACAGCTTTTACTTTCTGACTGCCCATCACATTTCTCGAGGTGCTAAAATACCAGGATAGTACAAACACCCTCAAATTACCCCTTTTCGGAAAGTAGACACGCTAAGCTATCTGTTGAGAGGCATATTGAGTCCATGGAAGACTTATTTTTTTTCCACAAGTTTTTGGAATATGACAAAAACATTTTATGTTTGTTCACAATGTTGTAATTTAAATTATATATATTTCTCACACAAGCCATGGGTATATGTGGAATTACACCCCAAAATACATTCAGCTACTTCTACCAAATATGGGGATACCACATGTGTGAGACTTTTTGGGAGCCTAGCCACATACAGGGTCCTGAAATCCAATGACCACTTTGAAAGCCTGAAGGTGCGTAACTTCCTCATTTCACTTCCTCACTACCTATCACAGTTTTGGTGGCCTTGAAATGCCAGGATAGTCCACCCATATAGTAATTCCCCCCCAAATGACCCCATATAGTAATTCATTTTTGGAAAGTAGACACCTGAAGAAATTTAAAAAGAGGCATGGTGAGTATTTTGCATATCTAATTTTTACTCACAAGGTTTTGAAGGAATTTACATTTTCCACGCTGCCCCGCCTACTCCGTGGCAACAAATAAGATCTGCAAAATACTCACCCTGCTTCTTATCAAATTCCTTGGGGTGTCTACTTTCCAAAATGGGGTCATTTGGGGGGACTTTTTGGTGCTATCCTGGCATTTCAGAGCTCCGAAACTGTGATAAAGCTCTTTATTGGATTATTGCTAAATGGATAAGCACCCCCCCCCCAAATTTTTTGGTCCTGTACGTGGCTGGACTGTCAAAAAGTGGTACTCCCCTTATACATGTGGTACCCCCATACTCTGGAGAAGTAGCAGAATGTATTTTAGGGAGTAATTCCACATATACTCATGGCATGTGTGAGCAATAAATCATTTAAGAGAAATCATTTAAGAGACAATTTTGTGTGAAAAACAAATATTTGTTTTTGTGTCATTTTCCAAATCTTGTGGTCAAAAAATAAATTCTTCTATTTACTCAGCATGCCTCTCAGCAAATAGTTTGGGGGTGTCTACTTTCCAAAAAGGGGTCATCTTGGGGGGGGTGGGGGCATTTTATGCCCAGCATTAGAAGTTTATGCCACACATCATTCACTCTTCCAACAATCTGAATACCATGATGATAAAAAAAATCAGTATTTTTTTTGCTATGAAATTACTTTAAACCCCCAAACATTATATATTTTTTTAACGCGGACACTCTAGTGAATAAAATGGCGGGTGCTGACATTTTTTATGTCACATAGTACCCGCCCAGTGATTTTTCAAATGCTAATTTAAAAAAAAAAATGTTTCTACTTTTAATGCACAAAAATACAATATATTGGCCAATTATTTGGTAAGATATAAAAGATGATGGTATGCCGTGTAAATAGATACCAAACCTGACATTCTTTAAAACTGCGCACAAGCCCTGTGCAATGGCGACAAACTGCATACATTTTTAATATCCATAGGCCATGCCTTTAAAGCCATTACAAGCTACCATTTTAGATTTACAGAGGAGGTCTAGTGCTAGAATTACTGGCACCATTCCGGTCTCCAATCAGCTCTATGGTCATCTGGCAGAAACACCGGCTACATTCTCAGGTTCCCCCAATGGCATGGGACTGCCCAAGAAGGCTGTGGAAGGCAGCAGGGGAGGGGGGCATCATCTCCTGCTGCTTATAATAGCAATCCTGCAGCTAATTATCCACTAGGATTGCTTTAACATGAAAGCCGATCGCCGGCTGAAAAATAATGATACTAGGATGATGCCTGCAGCTGTAGGCATCATCCTGGTATACCCCATTCAAAGTCCAGTGATGTACCAGTACGTCGCTGGTCCTTGTTGGGTATATATACTATGTTCTTTTTTATTTTTGTATGAGGCCTGTGGGCTGAATGAAAAAAAAGAGAAGAATTCTCTGCCACAAAAAGTGTGTGATATGCCCACCATTAGAATATACCGCCCTGCATCCACCCACTTCTAATGGTGGGCACACATTAGGTCGCACGGTGCCCCATGCACCAATTCCAAGATTGTACAGATGTCTAAATAGTGGCACGCTTGAATAAAAATTGCCCACGTATAAGTGGTGCTCCCATATGAAAAAAGGATGACACAATGTAGTCTGGGCATCCGGGGGGCTCCATGTGACTATCTTTTCCCTCGTAAATTCGAAACTTATATGTATAGCCTGTTGCCTTCTCACAGGTCTTATACATCTTGACCCCATATCTGGCACGCTTGCTGGGGAGAAATTGTTTGAATGCAACGGGGCCAAGAAAAATTAATGAGGGACTCATCAACGCAGATTTTTTGCTGGGGAGTATAGACATCTGCAAATTTTGGTGATTTACGAGGGGACAAATTTTGTTGAGCCGGTCAAATTCAGGGTCACCCGAGGATGACAGAGTGTATTGTGCTGAAATGCATAAAACACATTATACTCTCATATCTATGCCTGGCCATGGCAGCAGAGAACACGGCATATGATGAAAATCGGGTCTGTGGACTACTACAACCGCAATTCATTTTTTTTTAGTAATGCCCAGGTTGAGGGTTAGGCCCAAAAAAAATGTATATTTGGAAACCGTAATGGGTTTCCATGCGAATGGTCTGGCAGGGTTTTGAATTTGGGTTGGCGGCGATAAATTGTTGTGCATATAAATTGCTTTGATCCACAATCAACGCATACAGAAAAACAGCTCCAAATATCAAGGGGAGTAGTTAAATTTGCTGTTTCCACCTGAATTCCGGGTTTGGCAGTGAATGGGGGAAGTACAGGTGCTGATTCTGCGAACACTGCGGTTTTGTGTGCAATGTATCAAGTGACAGTGACCTACTGACACTGCACTTGCTGGGGGAGAAGGGGGGGGGGTAAGCGTAGGGGCTAATCGCAGGTGCTGGCAGGTGCCGGAGCTGATCCCGCTAACACTGCGTTTTTTGTTGACGCTATACTAATATGAACGCTGGTATAGTGATGATCTGAGCTAAGATATTGATCCGTTTTCAGGACACTATACTAGCAATGGAAGGTTTATTGTGTATGAGCGTGTTCCTGGCAATCAAGGGTTAAATGTGATTACTGGTGTACTGACGGGCAATCTGACGCTATCTGGGAGGGGCGTGAAAACCACAGGCGCGTGAATCACGTATATATACGTGATTTTGCGCACCGTGCCTCCCTGTAGCAGTATTTCTGCTATGGGGCGGTCACGAAGCGGTTACAGAAGCTGTTTGCATTACGGCGCTGCATTATTTTGACTGACA